GCAGGGGTTATACTGTGGGGGAGGGACATACAAAGCAACAAAGAAATAATCTTATAAATGCGTTAGAAACACATGCATGAAAGAAAAAAAACATTAAAATACATATCTAAGGGTTCATTTTCCTAACATTACATTATCTGACCTTTTCCGGGAGGGGGGAAGCTGGGAAGGGATGTGAAGGGTAAACAAAGGAGGAGGCTGCAATGCTTGGTAAGAAATGTAAGCATTATCCTGCCTATGTAATTGTAACCCCTCTGTACAGTATGTTCACAAATGGAATAAAATAAATTAATTTTCAAAAAAGAAGTCAGGCTTGTACTCTTCAAGACCACACTAATAATGCTTTTTTAATTAATGGAAATTCTGATAAGCAGGCTTTTGTGTAGAGTACTTAAAGAAGTTGTATTTTGTGCCTAGTACCCTCTAGAGTAGAGCCAACACATATTTATGTTTTGTCTGAGGTGGTGTAGAAGATGGGCTCCTGACCTGACTTGGAAGAGAGAAAAAGAGGGGGCATGAGGGGGGGCAAGGGAAAAAGGGAGGGAGGGAGGGAGAAAGAGAGGAGGGGAGAGAAGCAAAAAAGCAAAAAGAGGGGCTCCTCACTCCTGTACTTCCTTTCTAGAAACTCACCCTAAAACAAGTTTTACCCCAGTTTCTGGCTCTGGGATTATCTGGTATCTGTCTAAACCCTCTAAAAAGTCAGAGAAAATGCACCTGTTTCCTGCTGGACAATTGGCACAGCTTGGAGAGTCCCAAAGGGTACAGATCTAAGCCTGTTCTCTATTTTTCTCCTCCCCTTTCTTTCAATCCCTAACCTCCCCTTGATAAATATAATAAGAATGATTCCCATGTTCTTAGGACTTGAATAAGATCACAGTTTTGTGAAATCTAAAGACAAAGGTAACTTCTTTTTAAAAAGTTTTATTGTCAGGGCTGGGCAGGTGGCTCAGTGGTAGAGCGCTTGCCTTGCATGCTCGAGGCCCTGGGTTCGATTCCTCAGCACCATATAAGAAAAAAGAAAAAAGCCAGAAGTGGTGCTGTGGCTCAAGTGGTAGAGTGCTAGCCTTGAGCTGAAGAGCCGAGGGACAGCGCTCAGGCCCAGAGTTCAGGCCCCACGACTGGAACACCTCCCCAAAAAGAAGTTTTATTGTCAAGGTGATGTACAGAGGAGTTATATAAGTCAGGTAATGAGTATATTCCTTTTTTGAACAGTATCACCCCCCTCCCTCATTTTCTACCAGTTTTACCCCTCCTGACCTCCTCTCCCCAAAGCTGTATAGTTCATTTCCAATATAATGTCTAGTGAGTAGCACTGCTGAGTTGGTTCACCCTGAGATAAAGGTATCTTTGACATAATTTTTAATGATTGTTTCTCTTCTTTGGTATAAATAATCTATTTTTTGCTACCATTGAATATAGATTGTGTATGTTCATATTCCCTTTTCTCATGACTAAACACCAGTATATATTGAGCCCTTGTCAATATCTGTTTTTGTAATTTTATCTGTGAAAGGATGGTCATGTTCACTGTACTTTGTATCAGTTTTATGCTCTAAAAAAATTTCCTTAGGGGAAAATGGTTAAGAGAACAATTTAATATATTATGACAAGAGATGTCAAAAACAACTACAGTATTTGCATGCCGTAAAATTTAAGGAAATCATTACAAACTGTATACAAAATGAAAAATGTTACATGAAGGAAATATAGCTATACTGTCACATAAACTATACAGATCAAGTCTAATACTTAGTAGGTGTCTCTATTGCTTAGATATTTCCACACTTAAATTTAGTCAGATTTTTTTATGCCGGTCCTGGGGCTTGAACACATGTCTTGGTCCTGTGCCTGAGCTTTTTCACTCAAGACTAGAGCACCACCATTTGGGCCTCAGCTCTAGCCACTGATGGCCAGTGGTAAGCCTTTTAATAGAGAGGAGAGGTTAAAGAAAGACTAGGAAGAAGAGGAATGAACGAATGAAATGCTGTTGAACATCTAAATGTGTGGAGCAGTGTTATGTGGACTCTACATTTTTCCCCACTTCGTTTTCTGAACTGCCACACACGATGGAATGCCTCTCTATCTCTAAAACACACCTTGAACCTCTGCACTACAAAGACACTGGCCAAGACTTCACTCACGTTAGTGGGGAAGTTAATTAATGAAGCCATGTGAGCTCTCAGTATTGTGGCCCCATATCAGAAAGAAGAGAGACAGAAGGAGGGAGGGAAAGAGAAAGGAATGGCAAGAGGGAGGGATGGAGAGACAGAAAGACAGACACTGCGAGTATATGAGGGGGAAGATCCCAGACCAACCACACCCTGATCATAGTCTCCAGGGTGGAAATGATGAGCAAAGCACAGGGAACAGGGAGCCGTGGGAAGGGAAGAGAGGTTGGCCAGCTTAGGTACAGGAGGTGACCGCCCCCAAACACTGGCAAAGAGCCCCCCCACAGTAAAATGTCATAAAATGCCAACGCAGCCTTGGGCCGCACGAATAAAACTGTGATCATAGCCACAGACAGTAGCTGAATGAAATCAATGTTGTCACTAAAAGGCTTTGTCCTTGTATTCAGAAAAAAAGGTTTGAATTCAATGTTTTTGATGTCTCCTGAAACAAGGTAGACCAACTTAAAATTGTTATGTGTCACCTCTTTCTCTTTTGGTCCCTTGCGAAAAGCCCCCATTGTAACTACTTTCCACACAGAGATCTGGCAAAAGTGGGAGGAT